GTTCCCCTCAGCAGTGTACTTCAACAATCTGCCTGTTCTGCTCCCACTCTGTGAATCCTTTCACCCCCCCCCCACCTCTGGCCTACACCCCAGAGGGGCACATACACCCCAGTTCTTGTGTGCATAATTTTTTTTAATGCTAGGGGGAAGAAGTCAGTCCCACAAGACCACATACTTGATGATTCCCTTCATATGAAATATCCAGAATAGTGAACTCCAGAGAGAAAATATAGATTAGTAGATGCCAGAGACTGGAGTGAGGGAGCAGAAAATGGAGAATGAGAACTAATGGGTAAAGGAGTTGGGTTTGTTTTTTTTTAAGATTTATTTATTTATACATACAGAACTGGGGCACAGGCCAGAGGTGCAGGAGCAGTGAGAGGATTCACCAGAGACAGAGTGGGGAGCAGAACAGGCAGATCAAAGTAGTACACTGCTGAGAGGAGCAGCGGGCGGGCCAGGAGAGGTCTGCCGTGCCATGTGGTCACTTCCGGGGCAGGTGGGGATCGAACTCGTGCTGCAGTGGCTTTAGCTTCTTACTGCTGTGCTTTAACCTGCTGCACCACCAGGGAGGGCCCAGGTACAGGAGTTTTGGGGGGGAGGGTTGGTGAAAATATTTTACAGTTGGACAGTAGTGATGCTTGCACAAACTTGTGGATACACTAATAATCACTGATCTGTCTGATGGAGACAGGAATGCAGGGGAGGCATGACACATTTGACTCACACAAAGGGGACAGGTAGAAGCGGCCAGTGCAGCAACTGACACAGCCCTAGCATCAAGGTCCTCAGGCACCAAAGCCCGGTGCCGCTGTCTGGGATGTTGGGGTGTCTGCAGGAGGTCGAGCAGATAAGACGGTTGGGGGCTGTGCCTGAAACTCAGACCCAAAAGGTGAAAGATAAGGACGAGGAGATGAAGCTCCTCAGGAATCTCTGGTCCTCTCAAGTTAGCTCTGGTCACCGGGAGTGAGCTCTCCCAGGGAGAAACTGCCTGTGTCAGGCAGCCTCTCCACCAGCACCGGGCAGCTGTTCAGCCTCTGCCCACCTGGCCTCTGCAGGTGCCTCTTCCCACCCGCTCTGTCCCTCTGCGGGCAGCAGCCTCCTGCCTGCCTGTCCATGCCGGGACTCCTCGGCACTGACCTCCCCCAGAGGAGGCCACTCTCTCCTTAGGCCGCCTGCCGGCAACCATGCAGGCTTCTCCCTCTGCAAGCCTGTCCCTTCCGGGCAGCTCTTCCTGCCCACCTGCACCTATGCAAGTGTCTTTTCCTCTCCTGTCTCTTTCTAATAAACCTCCTCTTGAAATATAACCGAGTCTCTGTCTCGTGGAGAATCTCGCCGTGTGCCGCTGAAAGGTGAGCTCTGGTGAAACCTTTCCTAGAGTGAACCCAAGGACCCCGAACTCCAAAGAGGACATCATGTCCACTGTAAGAAAGGTGTATTTATGGCATGTAAATTATATCACACTTAATACATTTTTATTAGATTAAAAAGGAAATGAAACTGGTCCCGAATAAAAAGGTGGTGCACAAACTGTCTCAGGGGCACCAGACAGAACTAGGGTGGCCCCTAGTTCTCTTTGTCTTCCCTTTTCAGGTCACCCCCGGCCGCACCTCTCAATGGTCGGAGCGCGCCTCCCTTGCCTCTTCCCATAAGGTTTACCCCAAGGTGAGCTCCCCACCCCTGAGCCCCTCTGTACCCACCCAGCTGGTTTAGCTAGGTGGCACTTTGACTTCCCCAGCAACCAACCGCCTCAGGGAGGGCATCCAGGGTGCGGCCTGGGCAGCTCTACTGCCCCCTGCAGTTGTTTGCTTACTCCTGGTTGTCCCCTGGTCCCCTGAGAGCTTGGCAAACAAGAACTAAACACTGGGGACTTACTTGGAGGTGTGTCCGGAGGTGGCCAGAGGTAGGAGGTTCACCTTTATTTCAAGAGAGGCCAGCAAAGCACCCTGCAGCTTCAGGGGATGGCCCAGGCTTCCTAACACACTATGAGGCCCGCACTGATGGAGCTCGGCCATGGCACGAGACGGGCCCTCGGAGGAAAGGCCGCTGTTTCCCGTCAGACAGGCTGTGTGACCTTAGAAACGTTTCTTAAGCTCTCTGATCTTCCACTTCTTGGACTCTAAAATGGGAACGCCCCTACCGTTTTCCAAATGGTTTGATGATGAGGTACCGATATCAGCACAGAAGAAATGCTCAGCTAAAGGGAGACCTGTGAGCTCCAGGCAGGCAGGGACCTAACTGTGTTGTTCACTGTAGTGTCTCCAGCGCTCTCTTCCGCATGCTTTTCACCTCCGCACCGTTCCTCAAGCATCCCCTCCGCCTGGGATGCCCTTTCCCCCACGCCCAGCTCCACTGATCACATCCTCCCCTTCTCCAAGGTGTAGCTCAAGTGCCCCTGTGCCCCCCTGGACGGCTTCTGTGCCTGGGTTGGTCCCTGCCTGGGGCCTCTGGAGCTGAGACTGTGGGGCAGCGTGCAGACTGGCAAATAGCAGGGGTGAAGTTACTTCTTCCTTTATCCCTCACTTTGCTTGTCTGTAAAATGGGCTTAATAACAGCGCCTAGCCCACAGGGGTGTTCTGAGGCTTAAACGGGGCAATGCACTTTGCGTTAGACAGACTAGACCTAGGCTGTCCTACGCGGCAGCCACAGCAACACGGGGCAATTTAAAGTGAACTGAATCAAAATTCAATTCCATTAAAATGTGAGTTCTTCAGGCTCACTAACCATGTCTCACAGTCACCAGTGGTGATCAAGTATGTGCAACAGCACAACCCTATCTAGAACATTTCCATCACTGTAGAAAGTTTTATTCAACAGCTTGCCGTCCCTCTGTCATGACACATGCGTGTGCATCCACGCGTGTGAGCTACGCACCTCCACACAGCAAATGCTCTCCGCCTACTTGTGGCCCAGGCGCTTCAGCAGGAAGAGAACCCAGGATGCCTCAGGGGCCTGCCGCTCCTGGAAGGACCCAGCCCCTCCCCCTGGCGTTCCCTGCCCAGTTTCTGATGTCCCCAGAAGTATCTGTGGCGCCTCACATTAGAGGGATTAGGGCGAGAAGGGAGACTGGTGAGAAACGGGCAGGATTAGAGTCTAATGAGAGGGCAGCGGAGGAACCCAATCTCCGCCTGGCCTGGCGGGGAAGTGGGTGTAACAGCAGCCCTGGGCTTTGCAGAAAGGGCCTGGAATGTGAAATGGGCGGGACTGGGGTGTGGCAAGTTACCTAACTGTTCCTGAGTCTCCAAACAGGCGCCCCGATAGAGGGAGATGGCCAAGATGGCCTTTTCTTCTCCTTCCGGATCCTTCTGAATCTATCAGGGCATGGCAGATGGCCACAGGACTCGCCCACACCCACACTCACACCCACTCTTTTGAATGAGTCCAGAGATAGCCTGGGGGTAGGGACCTGGGTGTAAGGAGAGCACCTGGCTGGTGGGCAGGCAGGTGAGCGCCAAGTGGCTTGGGCTAGCTGAGCTATTGGGACCCAGACAGCTCAGCAGCGATTCAGTCCATGCAAACCCCTCCAGCCCTGAAGATTCACCAGAGACAGAGTGGGGAGCAGAATAGGAAGATCAACTGAAACGCACTGTGCCATGTGGGCAGCTCCCTGGCTGGGGATCGAACCTGTGCTGCAGTGGCTGCCAATCGCTCCACAGTGCTGTGACCTAGCCCCTTGCGCCACCAGGGCGGCCCATGCTGCTGGTGTCTTTATCAGCCTCTGCCCTCACGGAGTACAAGACTTGATGGTCTCTGTGTCTCAGATCTTCCCTGCACCCACGTGAGGAGGACAGGGCAAGCATTGATAACTCCATTTTGGAAGTGACACCATGTTGCAGGGGAAATCCGTAGGGGCATGGGACAAGCCTGGGCTTGGCAGGCCTGTCTGGTGGAGTGCCAAGCAGCATGGCAGAAATCGAAGGGCAGGAGAAGCTTCTGGGCTTCCTCATGACCTTACGTGGGTGGAGATGTGCCTCACTGAGCAGGTGTTTACAGTCCCAAGAAACAGCCTTGTCATCCCAAGTCTATCCCTACACCCCCTTCTCCTAGGGTCCAGAGCAGGCAGGATCCCAGCAAGACCCTATGTCCTCATGACCTGGGTGGTGGGAAGGACAGCAGTGGGTGAGGCTCAGCCTTCCCCATGTTGAAGCCTGCAGGCTGTCACGTGACAGGTCTGAAAGGCAGGGCAAGTGTTGGGCCTCTGGAAAAGCCACCCTTGGCAGCAGGGACCCCTGGGAGCTCCAATCCTCGGCTCCAGCCTGCTCTTGAGCATGACTTCTTATTGCAGAAGAAGGACATACACCCCGACCTGCATTGACCAAGTCTTGTTCAGACGTGGAGATCATTAGACCCTCCTGCCCTGTCAGAGCTGGAGGGGTGACCTGTGCAGAACCCTACATGTGGGGGCCCTTCACTAGTGGCATGGAAAGACTGAGGCTTGGCGAGAAGGGTGCCAGCAGGGAGTGCCCTTCTCCCCCCTGAAATTGCCTTGGTTCCTGATGCCTCGAACAGGAAAATGACTCCCTGGTTTTCACAAAGGTTGGAGGCGCTGGAACGCGCCACCCATTTGAGTTCAGGCGGAGAACAGGCTGTCTGTTTGGGGAAGGCTGTTTCCAGAGGGATGTTGAGCTTGGGCTGGGCTGCCGGGGGTTGTGGGGTTAGGGCTGTTGTTATGCTTCAAACCCCCCTACGGCCAGGGCCTGGAGGCGAGGGAGCGCTGATTCAGGTTTTCCAGGGCTCACCCTGACCTCCCACACCTTGGGAGACCCGCCTCACGCCCTCCCAGCCTCCTCTGCCTGGCAGGGGAGATCTGGCACACCCTCCCGGGTCCCCCTGCTCCTCAGACCTGTCCTGGAGCCAAACACGGGACTGCACCTAATCCTGATTATGTAATGTGCGATCCAACAGTTGGCCAAGGAGGAGGCGCCTGGAGCCACGCCCAGGAGTGGGGCAAAAGGCCCCAGCTGGGTCAGGGCCTCCCACCAGGCTTAGCCTCTGCCTGCAGCGGCCCCGACTCCTGCAGCCTCGCCCAGCATCATGAGTGGCCGAGTCGGAGACCTGAGTCCCAAGCAGGCAGAGACCCTAGCCAAGGTGAGAGCCCTTCCCCAGTCAGCCCCGTGGGGAAAGAGCTGAGGGACAGAAGTGGGGCTGTGGCCGAAACCCAGCTGACTCGGTGTGCGTTTGACGTTGTTTCTTTGCTCTCACTTCTCCCAGAGTCACACCCCAGTGACATGGGCTGCAGCGGGCAGGGTCTGAGCAGGGGTATTCCAGGCACTTCTGTGGGTCCCAGGTCAAGCCTGACTTCCCATCCAGGAGCCAGACCCAGACAACTGCACCCTCAGGCCTCCCTCTTAGTCCCTGAAGGCGGAAGCACCCTGAAAGAAGACCTCTCGGGAAGAGCCAGAGAGACAGGGCACATTGTGTCATCATCCCCCTGGTCGATGGGAAAGAGGACACATAATCACCAACATGCTTTTGTAGAAAACGGGGTGATATTAGGCCTTCCCTGGTGGTGTAGCGGGTTAAAGCACAGCACTGTGAATCTAACGCCGCTTCCGCATGAGTTCGATTCCCGCCTGCCCTGGAGGTGACCGCATGGCGTGGCAGACCTCTCCTGACCCGCCCGCTGCTCCCCTCAGCAGTGTACTTTGTCGATCTGCCTGTTCTGCTCCCTCTCCCTACTGTCTCTGGTGAATCTTCTCACTGCCCCTGTACCTCTGGCCTGTACCCCAGTTCTGTATGCATAAATATTAAATCTTTTAAAAAAGAAAATGGGAGGATTAAAGGCAAACACCTTGATGGGCTAGCACCTAGGGAGAGCTACGGATGCATCCACACTCCAACCCATTCACCGCCCCCAGCTCTCCACCGCTCCCTCTACCTGTCCACCTGCCGATCACTCCTTCCTCTACTCACCTACCCTGTTTTCTCCCATCTGCCCATCCATTTGTAGAGTACTTTTCCCCACTCCTCCGCCCAGTCTTCTTTCGAGCCATTTATCTCTCGCCCATCCTTCCACCCGCCTACATACACCTTCACATACCCACCCAGTGTGATCATCTCTCCTACCACCCTCCCACCCGTCCTTCCACCACCATGGGCCCCACTGGGAGAGAAGACGGATGGGGAGTCTCAGGGTCTGGCAGCCGAGGTGCCGAGGTCCAGTGTGAAGGTCACTTTAACCAGCTTCTCTTTTCCTAGTTTCGAGAAAATGTCCAGGATGTGTTGCCAGCTCTGCCAAACCCTGATGACTATTTCCTCCTGCGCTGGCTCCGAGGTGAGGGCAGAAGTGGGTGGGTGGGTGGGGGGCGCCTGGGGCCACAGCAAGAGGGGGCTTGGTCCTGACTGTTCCACTGTAACGTCTGGCCACACCAGAGCTTTGCTTCACACGGTCAGGTCTAGGAGAGAGGGGTGCAGGAAAGGAAGGTCCCCTCAGGGGCCCAGCACGCTTCTTAGCTCCCCCTGCCCAGGATCGGGCGGGCTGACTGCAGGCCGCCTCTTCCCACCTAATGTCTTTCTCCCATCTTCCCCATAGCTCGGAATTTTGACCTGCAGAAATCAGAGGCCATGCTCCGCAAGGTGAGACGAGATCCCCTAGGATTTATGGGGGTCAATTCAGGCCTTAACCTCCCCCCTCCAACCCTGTCTCAGCGGGGCTGGCAGCGTAGGGTCTTACCACTCATCTCCCTTTCAGTACATGGAATTCCGGAAGACCATGGACATTGACCACATCCTTGACTGGCAACCCCCAGAGGTGAGCCAGCAACCCCTCAACCCAACATTTCCACCTGAGCAGCCTGGAGGCCACCAGGCACCACAATTAAAGGGCAGCGAGAGGCTCGTGGAAACTCCTGGGCTTCCCAGCTCTCCCATTAATACTTGTGACTATTTCCCGAGGTCAAGACCTCGGCTGCGACTTCATTGGCATGAGCTCACTTGATCATCAGAATCCTGTAAGGTGGGTTCTATCGTCCACATTTTACAGATGAGGATGCTGCAATCCAGGAAATGTTAAGCAGCTTACCCTGTGTACCCCAGCTCCAAGGTGGGGCTAGGATTTGAGCCCAGCCCTGTCTACCCCCAGACCCTGCTGCTTCACACCACAGTGGGCCTGTGTCTCTACACCCTACTCCTCCGGCCGTGCTCAAAGTATCTTTCTGGGCAGGAAAGAAACTTAGTCCACCAGGGTTCCAGGGAGGACTGTCCCCTGCTGGCATCTTAGAAAAGCATTAGTCAATCAGAACTTTTTTGGAGGGGCCTATACGTCACAGAACCAGATTCTTTGCATTGCTAACATGATCTGGAGACTCTCCCCAACGGTCAGGTAAGGGAGAGAGGATCTGAACAATTTTCCTGAAGAACAGGTGGGAGGGGGCTCAAGGAGAAGGTGTCACGTGCTACAGGACACACAGCAGGGACCAGCAGGGACTGTGTTCAGAATCAAGTCCCCCATCCAAGCCCACCTGCCCCACAGGGAGAGGGATGTGGGATATATTGGGGGCAGAACTGAAGAGCCTGGAGGCCTCAAGCCAGACCCAGCTGAGGCCTGGTTGGTCATGTACATGCCTCAAGCACAGCTCCTCCCTGTAGGCCTCTCAGTGTTTGCACCAGGACAGACATGCAGCCTTCCCGGGGGTTGGGCTTGTACCACTGTGCATGTCCTTCTGGCCTGGGGGTCTCTGGGGCAGTGCATAAGCCAGGTTCCATGTCTTTCCACTTGCAGGTGATCCAGAAGTACATGCCGGGGGGACTGTGTGGTTACGACCGTGATGGCTGCCCTGTGTGGTATGACATCATTGGGCCACTTGACCCCAAGGGGCTGCTCTTCTCAGTCACCAAGCAGGACCTGCTCAAGACCAAGATGAGGGACTGTGAGCGCATCCTGCATGAGTGTGACCTGCAGACTGAGCGGGTGAGGCCCAGGCTAGTGGGTGGGCAGGCAGGGGGCAGGGGACCTGCCAGGGCCCTCGGTCCCAAGGGCACATCTCAGGGTTCTGGAAGCCCACACACCAGCTCTGCTGCTTACCCACTGTGCAGCTTTGGCAAATCACCTCACCTCTCTAAGCTTCTTCAACTGCAACACAGGGACAGTAAATAATGGCAGCACAAATATTAAATGAGACAATGCAAGCATAAGACCTAGCACACAGGATCTGACACATATGTGTCAACAATGTTTGTTTTGTTATTCCTTCTGACCCTTTGTCTTTGCTGAATGTCTAGATATGTGAGTTGAGATATGGATGGGACAAAGGATGGATGGATGGGTGGATGGGTGGATGGGTGGACGGATGGACGGACAGATGGACGGGTGGATGGGTGGACAGATGGATGGATGGACGGATGGATGGATGGATGGATGGATGGATGGATGGATGGATGGATGGATGGATGGATGGATGGATGGATGGATGGATGGGTGGTGGCTGGATAACAAATGGTTGATGTGTAGATGATGGATGAGCGTATATATACATTCACTGTTGTCCATTTGCTCCTCTGAGAGAATCCCTGAGGGGTCCTATGTTTTAGGGTCACCATCCCCCAATTTCTGAGCCTGCACCCTGAACCTTGGGACTTATTCCTGCTCTCATCCTTACAGCTTGGGAGGAAGATTGAGACCATTGTGATGATATTTGACTGTGAAGGCCTGGGACTGAAGCACTTCTGGAAACCTCTGGTAGAAGTGTACCAGGAGGTGAGATGAAGGCTCCTGGGAGACCCCTGCTCCCTTCAGTGATCCCCTTAGGCCTTGTTGCTCTCTCAGACCCAAGATCTGGTAAAAGGGGGTGGCCTTCCTGGGACCAATCACTGCAACTCAGGATCCAAAGGATTTTGAATGCATTTCCCAAAAGATCCCACAGAACAGGCCTCAGGACAACACTACTGAGACTCCAGGGCAGCTTCCTCCATACCCCAAACTGCACTGTCACCCTTAGTGCTGTGTTGCAGGCAAGTGGCTCACCTCAGTGCTTTGTTTTCTTCCCCCACCGTATGTGATACTGATACGCTGTGTCTCAAAGGGATATAGGGAGGCTCCAGTGAGCTGCAGAATGAAGTGTTTGCCTGCAGCCTGGAAGATAAAATTTAGGGAGGCGCCTCCAGAGGCCAGTGGAGGTGATGGGAACCCACCACAGTCCTCCCAACCTCCCAGAGGGGTTGCAGTCATGGAGTTAGGAGAAGATGAGGTGTGGGCTCTGACAAGGTGTTTCTTGGTTCCACAGTTCTTTGGCCTCCTTGAAGAGAATTACCCAGAAACCCTGAAGTTCATGCTGATTGTGAAAGGTGTGTTGCAAGAGACATCATCTCCCTGAGCCCCCATGGGGATAACAGTCATGCCTTATTCCCAGGCTGCTAGTGAGCGAGGCAGGTTGCTTGCTTGCCTGCATGCAAGACATTTGGAGTGCCTGGGCTGGAGTAAATGTTCAATTAATGGTAACATCTATGGTTGACCTTACTATTTACGAGGTAGCTTCACCCCCAACCCTTCCAGGAAATCTCCATTCATTTCTCCTGCAACAATGATCTCTACCCACACTGCCTCTGGTCCCAGCAGCTGGAGCCATGCAACCCAGCCTCTCTCATCAGCTGTCTGGGGGAGCCTCCATTTGTCTTGCATGTGTTCATCCTGTTTTCCATCCTGGATTATTGGCTCCTTGAAGTCAAAGCCTCTGATTCTCCACTTCTCCTGTAGCTTTTGCAGACTTGGAGACATGTGGATGCTCAGTGGGTATTTGGATGGCTGTTTTTTGTGGTCATATGAATAGATGGATGGATATCTGATGGTTGGCTGGTTGATTGGTTGGCTGATCAGTTGCTTAGTGAAGTGCCTAGTTCACTGTCCCATTTGTTGGCTGGTGAGTTGACTGGTGGTTGGTTAAGTAGATGTTAACTTGATTGACTGATTGATTAGTTGGCATTTGGGTTGATTGAGTGTTGAGTAGCCGGCTGGCAGATTAATTAGTTTGTTGTTTGATTGGATCTTAGATGATTGCCTGCTGGTTATTTGAATAGACTACTGGCTAGAGTATGCAGTTGTTTGGGCAGGTAGCAGGTTGCCTAGATACCTGGCTTGCTGATTGTCTAATGAATTGATTGGTTGTTTGACTATATGGTGTTTGGCTGATTGGTTGGTAAACTAATTGTTGGCTTGGTTAGAAGATGAATTGACTGACTGGCTAGCTGGTTGGTGGAGAGACTGGATAACTGATTGGACAGTTGGAGAGTTGTCTGCTTGTTGGCTGGTTGACCAGTTTGTTGGATGGTTTGTCAGGCACAGAGCATTGGAACTTTCCAAGATTATTTATGATTCCTTGGTAGTATTACTATAACTTTCATTGAAAAATTGGTCCAATGAATTATTTTCTCTCTGTTTTCCTTCTTGTTTCTCTCCAGCCACCAAACTGTTCCCTGTGGGCTACAACCTTATGAAGCCCTTCCTGAGTGAGGACACTCGTAGAAAAATTGTAGTGTTGGGCAGTAAGTAGTTCCACTTCCATCCCCTGAATATGTGCACAAGTTTTGGAGTATAGTTGGTCCATTACCCCATCGAGAGAATATACACCACCCACAGACTGAGGGTCCTCCTTCCCAAAATTGATGTGGCTCTTACACTACAGAGGTTATCCAGTTATCCTGATCTTGTTCCCTGTCCTTGGTAACTAAGACCTCCATACCTTCTTCCTTATCAGTTTCAGTTTGGCTGGTAATCAACCTCTGGGTAATGGGCTTCAGTTTCCCTTCAACATGTATGTCAGTAACATGGGCTGATGAGGATGAAAAAGAGCATGAGGAAGAGATATGATTCCGAGATGGAGGCTCAACAAGAAAGAAGGAAGGAAGCCAAGAAATAGTTAAATAGCTTTAAAACTCAAACCAGTGAACCAGACTTGAAGGATAACTTTTCACAAGATTTGATGGATAGATCAGCAAAGCAGGAGATCTGAGGATCTGGGGGTGGAGGGTGTTGCAAATTCCTGCTTTCTCTCCCTTTTTACCTGAGTCTCTGCCTCTGCTCAGTTCCACTTGGGTGTATCACAAGATAACCCCCCAAACCTGGAGCAACAGCTATACCCCTGGTGGTGGTTCCTGGGGTTCTGTGCACTTGGCCCTGATGTGGTATTTGCACTCATTACACTGGTGCAAGGAGCGGCAGGACAGTCATAAGGCCATGGCGACACCCCAGGATCCAGAATTCTTAGGGTTTTGCATGAAGAACAGTAACGGACATCATGGTTATAGGGAGGGCAGGGGGAATCCTTCCAAAGCCCTGAGCTGTCCATCCCCACCAACAGGTCAGACTCGAGTATGCCACTGTGTGACTCCCAACAAAGTCTTTTCCTTCATTGAACTTCAAAGTCACCTCGAGACAGTTAGACTACTCTTATCTTCACTACTCATGTCTGGGAGACCCTTAAAAATGTGCAAACCCATCAGCCAGGGGGCAGCACATTTCCATCCATGATGCAGCCAGAGGCTTAGGAGCCTGCAGAACAGGCTCTGGCCTGTCTCCTATGGGGTTTCTCCCTAATCTCATGTCCTCCTGGTGGGAAGAGGGGTTGACGGGTCTCCTGCATACCTGATAACTATGCTTAAACCCCTCTGTCCCTAGCCAACTGGAAGGAAGGTTTGCTGAAGCTCATCAGTCCTGAGGAACTGCCAGCTCAGTTTGGGGGGACCATGACTGACCCAGATGGGAACCCCAAATGTTTGACTAAGGTATGAAGAACCCCAGGACAGGGGAGGGAAGGTGAGCAACGCTAGGATCCTTCCTCACTCATTCACTCATTGCACAAACGTCTAGGGAAATAGCTAGACAGCCCCAGCCCTGCTCTGCCGGATTCCAGCAGAGGAGACTGGCTTGCAGGATGAGTTGGAAGGGCAAGTTCCAAGGATCTGGCCCAGGCTGGAGGGTCAGAGAAAGCCTCCTGGGTGGAGGAGCACAGGGTGAGCTGGCACTGCAGGAGATGGTGACAGTGTCTCAGGCAGATGGAGGAACACGACAAAAGCAGTGGCCTGAAGAGGGAGCGAACCCATTGTGTCCTGTGTACACAGATCAACTATGGTGGGGAGATTCCCAAGTCCATGTACGTGCGGGACCAGGTGAAGACTCAGTATGAGCACTCAGTGCAGATCAGCCGTGGCTCCTCGCACCAGGTGGAGTACGAGATCCTATTCCCAGGCTGTGTCCTCAGGTAGGGAGAGGCCACCACCCCCCTTATGACTGGGCCTTAGCCCTTCAGAGACTCTCAGGCTGAGGAGCAGACCGTCTCCCTCCCTCCCCCCACCCCTCACAGGTGGCAGTTCTCATCTGATGGTGCCGACATCGGCTTTGGGGTTTTCCTGAAGACTAAGATGGGGGAGCGGCAGCGGGCAGGGGAGATGACAGAGGTGCTGGCCAGCCAGCGTTACAATGCCCACATGGTGCCCGAGGACGGCAGTCTCACCTGCTCGGAAGCTGGCGTCTGTAAGTCCACCCTGCTGGGCCCCAACTCCAGAAGGGTGGAGTAACCTGTGCCACAGTTCCTAGGTCAGGCCATTCCTCTATACACCCATTCAGCCCACACTTGTGAGCACGTACTGAGCATCAAGGGACAGAAATAGACAGGCCCTGAGAGGGTTGAGAGTCCTCAGGCCGCAGAATGCAAGCTAGGGCCAATAGGGTGGAGCAACTTTCCCAGGAATAAACTGGGGTTCTGAAAAATCATTCAAATTGTCCTGAGTCTCACACGTATAGGAGCCACCTCAGGGCACCTGTACAACACTTGGGGAAAAGTCTTAGTGATTGAGCCCCTTGGCTTGTCCACCTGTGAAGCAGGTGGCTGTGAAGGGACAGAGGATATGCACAGGATGGCCCAGCACCCACTTCAGCTAAAGACAAGAATTCAGGGGTGGAGACAATGGGATGTAGTGGCTATTGTTCCCGTTGCCAACTGGTGCAACTAACGCCAGGGCCTGGGCACATGCCAAGAGGTCGGTGTCTGTTTACAGGCTCTGCTCATGGGGAAGGGAACAGGAGTGGTGGGAACATGGTCTGGCTTGGCATACAAAGCCAGCGGGAAGACCTGTCCTCCCACACGACTGGGCAGGGATTAAGAGCATATGAAGCCAAGCTCAACTACCCATCTGTCCATCTGTCCCCAGATGTCCTGCGCTTTGACAACACCTATAGTTTTGTCCACGCCAAGAAGGTCAGCTTCACAGTGGAGGTGCTGCTCCCGGACGAGGGCATGCAGAAATACGACAAGGAGTACACCCCTGTCTAGAGGGCGCCCTGCCTTCTCAGGGACCCCTGACCCTCTGCTTTCTCTCTCTGTATATCCGATGCTTCACCCAGAAATTGATCATTCGTCTTCTTGACTCTGACATTATTGAGTAGAAAAAGAGCTGCCTTGAGGCTGGTTCATATGCTGTGGTCAGATTAGGAAAGCTGTGAGAGGCACAGTGTTAGAGGAGGTTAAGGTTGCAGAAGAGGAAGAAGCAAGAGTAAAAGCAAGAGGGGTGTGTCACTAAACCCGAGAACTAGGGAAATGAATCCCCTAATCTTTGTCCTCCTTCTAAGGCGTTGGTGTGTGTTTGAATTTATTTTCCATGAACTATGAGCAACTTGGGTTGGAGATGTATCTAAATTTGTTGTACTTCTATTTACTTCCTTTTATTGTAGATGCTCTGTATATACTTGAATGGAGGTATATAGTTGAATGGAGGTAGGGAGTGGGTGATTCCTAGGTATGCATGACTAAAAAGAGACCAATGGGAGCAGATTTCAGCACCGCGGACAGGGACAGACCTTTGAAGGAAATGGGCTCTCCTGGAGACCCAGGAGCTCAAACCCCAGATTTCTGATAGTGGCTGCCTCCTTGGAAAGCTTACATCAGGCTTTATCTGGCTTGGGGCCCACAGTTTCCCCAAAACATCGCTCTCACCCTTTACACCTTCTCTATACTTTGTATATTCTAAGCAACTGAAGGCACATTCCTGGAAGCAAAGGTAGTCAGATCTGGCTCTAGCTGTTGTCTGGCAATAACAACAACAAAATAAAAATCACAGCTATTGCTCACTGAGTGATCTCTATGTACCTCACATGCTGCCAAGGGCTGTATGAGTGTAGCTCATTTCACCCTCCTACCTCCCTCGAGGCTGCTTATCAAGGCCACCTGATAAGGAAACAGGCTCAGAGAGGTGAAGTCATTTGCTCAACTTCATGCAGTTCCCAAGTGGCAGATCTAAGATCCAGATTTTTGTGGGGAACTGGAGCAATGAGACCCACAATACTCAATTATATGTTTGTCCAAGGAAACTCAGCAGAGAGGAGCAGAACTTGCGCTTCAAAACCAAGCACCCTGCTCATGTGGCTTCTGGGAGCTTGACACTCTGGTACCTACACAGCTTCCTGATACCCTGCTCCAAGTCAAGAGCATGTAGACTCTGACTTGAACCCTGAGTCCTGACACAGCTCTCATCAGGAGGAGCTGAATTTCCAGGGTGTGTGGGTGGGTGGGAACCAAAAGCCTTGGCTGGTGCTACGAGAAGCACCTTGGGAAGAGCTGAGGACCACGCCTGCAGCAGTGAGCCCACCTGCGGGCAGAGCTTGAGGCTGACTGAGATTAACCAAGCAGTGATCAGTGGCAACCAGCAAGCACTTTCCGTCTGCACTTAGGGAGGTGGTGTCCTCTCTCCTTTCTATAGACGGGGTGCTGAGCTCCCCAAAGGCACTGTCCTTGTTTCCTTCAGCTCATGGGTAGCAGAAATAGAACATGAGTTAACGCTGCGCCCTGTCACCCACCTGCTCACTCCCACCACAAAAACGTGTTGCTATAGCAACTTGCCAAAAAATACCCAACCAGGCTGCCGACTCTTTGAGCTGGGGAAGGATAAGAGGGTGGGAGGGCAGAAGAGAAGACAAAGTTGTGAAATTTAGAAGGGAAAAATGCAATATTTGGGACATACTTGAAACGTATTCACTTTTATCTGAAATAGAAATGGAACTGAGTCCCCTGCATTTTCTCTGGCCACCCTGGAGGCATGAGGAAGAGAAGGGAGGGCACAAGGCGAGAGGGAGTGAGCCTGTTTTTGTGGCGAGGGCGTCAACACCTGCCACAGGGATGTCACAGGGTCCTTGGTGGAGGATGGCTCAGCATCCATGGTGCAGGGTGAGGGGGAGACTCTCCTTCTTACCCTCTCAAACAAAGGTCCTCATGCTGCAGCAGGGTCAGAGTTTGGCAGGGGCGGGGGGCAGTTGCAGGAGGGCATGCTGGGATGGGAGGGTGGTGCACCAGCCTGCAGTGAGTGGTGCTCCTGGTACCCACATTTGTCTCAGCTCCTCTACTGCAGCTCACAGGCCACACTTTGAGTGGCAGGAGACCTGCTCCCAGGAGGCAGAAGCAGCACAAGAAACCTAGGCCAGCGCCGGAGCCAAGAACCCAAAAGTGCCCCTTGGCCTCTGCTGACACCCAGCCATGGAAATTTAGCTCCCACTGCATAGCCACATGGGTACAAAGCAGCCCTCACCAGGCCCCAGTCTCTAGGCCTCCAGGCTCACTCAAGGTTAGATGCTTTCAGCTCCACTTTCAGGAGAAAGCCTGGGGGAGGGAAAGAGACCCCCGCTATAGTCTGGATGAATGGGCACCCCTCCCCCCCAGCAGCAGTGAGTAAACAGAGTAGGTGTAGGAAGACCATGCCTATAGGTTTCTGGGAAAGGAAATTAAATTCCAGTTCCCAAGATACAGAAACACTCAGCTATTGGGTGGCAAAGGTGGTGGCCACAGGCTGCTTACCACAGGGGGAGCCTACTCAGCAGCTGGGATGGAGAGTGCGAGTCCCTTCTTGTGCAGACCCCTGGCCAGTGCCTGCGCAGAGGACACACTAGCCTAGCCCCATGGGGTGTGATTAGGCACAGACCCATCCTTCCCCCAGAAACCTACTGTCCTAGTAACCTCTCCAGCAAGTCTACATGAGTATCATGCATTGGAGGTTAGGTTTATTTATTTATTTACTTTTAAAGATTTATTTTATTTATGCATATAGAACTGGGCTACCAGCCAGAGTTGGCGGGAGTGGGGGGGTGGAGAGGATTCACCAGAGACAGAGCAAGGAGCAGAACAGTCAGATTGACTAAAATGCACTGCTGAGGGGAGCAGTGGACGAGACAGGAGAGGTCTGCTGTGCCAGGGTCAGCTCCCTGGCTGGGGATCAAACTCCTGCTGCAATGGCTGCGGTTAACTTCATAGTTGCTGTGCTTTAACCTGTTGCACCACCAAGGTTAGGTTTAGAGGTCAGCTTTGTCCCCAACACATAGTATCAACATACCGGTGCCTGAGCCTTAAGGCCACACCAGAGCACTAAAGAAAGAGAAACTATTGCATGCCCATAGAAAAGCCAGCTGCCCGGAGCTCTCCCCAGCGGCAGACTGAGACCCCCATCAACCTTGTATTCAGAAGAGAGTCTTGCCATTGCCCAGGTCACTGGCCCCATCCCCTGGATGTCCAGGCTGGTCAGGGCCCCGGGGTCCCCAAGGGAATCAAGAGAACAGCCCAACTGGTTTGGCTCAAGGACCCCCGTCAGGGTCAGCAGAAGTAGGATGAGCAGCAGTGACAAGCTCAAGGCCAGACCCACCACCAGCAAGTTCTCCAACATCTTGAAGGAAGCCGAACTGGATGGCACTGGGCAGCTCTCATGGCGTCCCGGGGGGGGCGGGGGGGCAGGGCAGGCTGAGCCAGACAGGTCAAACCAACTGTGAGCCCACAGTTATTCACCAAAAGGGACAAAGTGCTTGGGGGAGCTGGGTGTGGCTGTGGACAGGACCAGCGACACCTGTGGTCCCCTCCCCTTGGGAACTCTCTGGAGCAGCAGCTGTTAGCTTGCATCTTCCTCCCCTCTGGGCCCTGGCAGAGGTCCAGGCCAGGTTACTCCCCTCCACCACTCTGGGCTCATCTCCTAATTGGGGGCAGGGAGCAGCAAAGACATCTTGAGGGCCTCAGAGTAAATAGCTGGAGATGACAAATATCCATTCACAAGGTATTGGCTGAATTCTAGTACCTTCATTCCATGGATTAATATATTATTATTATACAATCACAAATGTGAATGAGGTGTCTAACCCACAGAGCTGCTGTAGTGTATTATAGAAGCATATTACAGATTACAAAAGTGGGATCATCATATTAATGTGCATATAGAGCAAAAGTTGCTGAGCTATTGCTACACTAAGCTGTGAGCTACGATCTGAGTTGTAGGCTTATATCTTGTTGAAGAATCTGAATTTTCCAGGATGGGTATGTGTTTGCTTATTATATTCGTTTGGTAAAGAGGCGCAGTTATTCCTGTATCCATAACCGGACCTGCCACTGAGTGTGTGAACGTCCTTCTCGAAGCATCCATGGGACAAAGGAGGCTGCTGGAGGTCACCAACCAGGTCACAGCGGACCCGACACAAGTCGCAATCTTCATGGTCACTGTCACCCAGTTCACCATCTGGTTCATGGCCATGACAGCTTCAGCGATGTTCATCCACCCACACAAGCCAAAGTCCCCCAGGGCCTGCCTGGCTCGGCCTTACCTTGGTGTCACCCCTTCTTTGGGTGGGGACAGCCAGCGTCACAGCAGCCAACACCCAGCTCTCCAGCTTATCATGTCCCAGCTGCCCCCTGTCCAGACAGAAAGACGTGCCTGGCTTCCTATAGGGGGCAAAGGGGTGGCAGTCTGCCCAGGGGGTGGACCTGGCCTGAATCCCAGTCCCAGAGACCCTGTTAGCTGTGTGACAGCTGGCCGCTACGTGGCCAGTCTGGAGCTCCCTTTTGCTGGTTTGCCTGTGTCAGGAGAGGCTACATTTCTAAGACAAGGCTTGCCCATGCTGCTGGGGAAGCCCCCAGCTTGGGCTGAGGCCCTCATCACTCCACAGTATCAGCCTTCCAGAACCCGGGCCTCAAGCCAGCAGGACTCACACACCACGGTGTGTGGGCTGAGGCCCAAAAGGGAAGGTTCGGCTCAGTGTCCCACAGCTGAGGAGATATAAAACAGGATTTCTGGCTGGGCTTGAGGGTCTTACCAACTCCAGATGCCTGTCCAGCAGATAATACCCAGATAATGAGGAGAACTGGGATCCCTGACTCCCACAGACCCCCACACAGCCAGCATGTGGAGCTATATTAGGCCTTATTTCTCTCTTCTTCTGGGAAGAAGCCAAGTGAGCCAAGTGCCATAATCCAGCACACCACAGCCCCCGAGGCAGAGGAAACTTCTGATTTCCCTTACTGCAGGGAGTATTTGCTCCTCGCAGCCTAAGTTTAGAACAGGAACGAATTGAAACCCACAAGTTATTTTTGCAATAGGTTAAGTCACAACTTGGCCAAACAGTGAGTGGGGCCCTATGTGGCCATTAACTTTCACAGGAGAACATTCTCCTAGCCATAGAAATTGATCATATGGGGTGGGGGTAACAAATTCTATTATGTCACCTATAAGACTATTTTCTAAACTGTGGCCTCAGCCTCTATGTAAGTATTGGTGATTCTGGGTCTCAGAAATTTCCTTTAAATATGAATTAACAAGAAGCATCGAGTTCTGAAAAGAAAGCCCTGAGTCAAGTGTAGAGAGCAGAGCTTATGAAGAGCCGTACAGATCTAGGAGATCCTAGCACCGCCTGGGACAATCTCCAAGCAGTGTTTATTGTCTGCTGTCCAGCTTTTTCCCATGATGACAAGATCTTGCTGTCAAGGAAGGGGATTTCAAGTGGCCCCAGGCCTTCGGCATCCACAGGGACAGAAGCCACTGTGCCCAGGTTTCCCCACCCATAATCCCACCTATTAAGACCTCGTTGGGGTGAGCGGGCTTTCTCAACCCCACTGTGGCACCTCAGGACTGTGGCACTATGAAAACAGGACTCAGACAGCATAGCCTTTTTTTTTAAGAGTTATTTATTTATGCATATAGAACTGGGGTAAGGCCAGAGGTATAGGTGCAGTGAGAGGATTCACCAGAAATAGAGTGGAGGAGCAGAACAGGCAGATTGAGAAGTACACTGCTGAGGGGAGCAGCAGGCGACACAGGAGAGGTCTGCCATGCCATGTGGGTCAGCTCCCTGGCCGGGGATCAAACTCTTGGCTGAAGCAGCTGCAGCTACCTTCATAGTGCTGCACTTTAATCTGATGTGCCACCAGCGAGGGCCCAGCATAGCCTTTTGATCAGAGCTCAGGCCAAATCCAGGACTGTGGGCTCCAAGTTCCAGCTCTGGGTCCTATACCCCACCACCATTCTCAGGGTTTAAGGTGCTAGCTGAAATACAGGGCACCCAGTTAAATATTTTTTACATTTTAAAATATTTATTTTATTTATTTATGCATACAAGAACTGGAGTACAGCCCAGAAGTGCAAGGGGTAAAAGGATTCATAGACAGAGTGGGGAGCAGAACAGGCAGATCGACCAAAATACACTGCTGAGGGGAGCAGCGGATGAGACAGAAGCTGACCCACGCCATGTGGGTCAGCTCCCTGGCAGGGGATCCAACTCACACTGCAATGGCTGTAGATAGCTTCATAGTCTGATACTTACCCCTTGCGCCACTAGGAGGCGCTCAGTTAAATATCTTCAAATGTAATGTTTCATGCAATTTAGGAAACATATTTACACCTAAAAAGCCATTGCTTATCTGAAATTCAAGTTAAACTGGACATCCTGTGCTTTTTTAATTTGCAAAATCTGGAAACCTGATCAGGGGACCAGCATCCCTTTCTGGGCTGATTCAACTCTGTTCAAAATAACCTTGGGAGGGGAAGCGGAGCAACAGGAAGGTCTCCAGACCTCAAGCCAGGGCCCGGCCCTCACCACCTCCTCTTCTACATCATCGTTGAGCACGGAGGCCTCCGCGCTGACTGCAGTCTCTTGTTGCCCTAGGAGGGGCCTATAGAGAGGCACCTGGGGCCAGCCAAGGGGGTCAGAGGGGCCATTAGCTCAGAGACTGACCTGAGCAAGTTTCTTCCCTCGGCAGCCCCGAAGCTCACAGCAGTGGACTTTGATCCTCAAACCTACATTATAGAACCACATCTGGCTGTGTCACTGCTGAAGTGTGATGACAGATGTGTCCAGCCCGAGCCAAGGGCAAGGTTGCAAAGGCAGCCACAAGTAACACAACTCTCAGGCCACTGCCTCTCCTCAGCAGCCTCCACCCTGGCTGGGACAAACAGCCTGCTCTCTGCCAAGAGACTCACAGCCGTGGGCAGGTTCAGATCCAGCAAGTTCCGATCAGACACAAAGAAGGTTGGCTACCCATGACCTAGTGCAGGACAAACCTCTACACACAATTATACCAATGGCCCAGGCAAGAAGATTCTGGATAGGAAGAGTCCTCTGCCTTCTGCCCCCCATCTCCATGTCTCCCCTTCACCCCGCAAAGTGCATGGACCCTGTGGAGAGTGAGGATGTGCATCCTCAGAGAGCCCTTAAAATACTGCCTGCAGAAGCCCACACGCTTGGCCTCGTAAGCTTCATGTCCCAGCCTGACACCTGCTGCATGCAGGCTTCCAGGGCCAGGCATGAGCAGAGGCCATAGTGAAAGCAGCCTCCCCTCTCCCCAAGCCTCCTTAAACGGACGGAGGTGGCAGGGCAGGACAAGTCTCACCTAATACCTGCAGGTGAGCTAGGATATGACTGAGCAGGCCCGGATATTTCATGCTCCTCTGCATGTACGCCCCTCCACATCTGCTCGCGGTGTTTCAGAAAAGACTCCACAGTTCTACTCCCCCATTTGGGACTAAATAAGGACAGCGGGTGCTGATAGACGGCTTCCACGTTGTGGGGTGCATCTTCTCCTCTGAAGGTGGAGGTGCCTCATGCGTAAGCTCTTGGGGAGGCTTCATAGCACAGCGCCTGGCACGTCGGGCACGCTCCGTCCGTGTCCTGTCAGTTAACAATCTTGTCCAAGGAGGGAGAGGGGCGCAGAGGAAGCTGTTGCAGGGCAAGATGACAATCAGGGTGGAGCGACAAGGGTCCCCGCAGCAGGTGTCATTAGAACTGGCTCGGAGGGCTGAGAACCTAGGGAAATGGGCGATGGAGAGGGCATTCAGAGCAGGGGCAGGGCCTGGTATGCTGGTACATGGGGGGGGGGGAGCTAGGGGAGGCAACCTATAGGTGCAGGACATGCCACAGTGAGAAGTGAGGCTGCCAGAGCCGGAGGCCCTGAATGCCAGGCCGAGGTGCAGAGACTACGGACTGGGGCGGTTAGGCATCCTGGAAGGTGCTGGAACAGAAGTGACTTAGGAGAGCCAGTCACCAACATGAGCAGGTCAGCAGTTCCTGTGCGCTGAGCATGGAAAGCGTTCCCACAATTGTAATTCCTACAAATGAGACCGTGGGGATCACCTTCAGGGGCATGCCTTCAGCTGACCACCCAAGTATCTCCTTTGAATACATTCTCAGGATTGCAACTGCTGAACCATGTAACCGGCAGAGTCTCTATCTGTGTCAGGCATCAAGTGGAATGATTCAGTCAATACCCTTGAAGTGAATGTCACTACAATAAGCTGATCTTGTGGGGCTCACAGAGAGAGAGCCCCACAGATGCCAGAAACTTTGGGAGCCATTTCTCCTATAATCCTCTCAGCAGCCTCAGGACCAGAGAGTGTTACAGTGAGGAAACAAGGCTCAGGGAAGTTCAGTAATTTGCTCAAAGTCACACAACCTGAGTCAGCTCTGGCCCTGACTCTGTGTGGGCCCAAAGGCGTGGAAACATGGGGGAGGGGGCGACACTGGGGGGTTGGGAGAGATCGGGGAGGTGGGGTTTTGTGAGCTTGGGCTCCTGACTCTTAATACAGCTTAAAGAGTTGTAAAGAGGGAATGAGCCACAGGATAGGAAATGCTTATCACCGATCTGGTGATCACTGGCAGGTCATTAAGATACTATAGCTCAGCAACCCTGTTGGGAGGTGCTGCCTCCTTGTGGTGATCCTGAGTATTGCATGACCCTGGCTGCTGTTGTAGGGCCCCAAGCCTCCAGGAGGGAAATCCCAACAGGTGTCTGCTTTCTCTAGGAAGGCAACTGCCCATCACACCTCCACTTGCCAATGCCTGTCTGATTGACCTCTCTGTACCTGCTTCTTGACCCATCAAATGGTTTAATATGAATTAGCGCAAAGTTGGCAGTCACTCAGAACTGTTCCTCTGCCCCCACCCAGAAAAGAGGCAGGGCCCTCCTTGGTGGCACAAGGGATTAAGTCTCAGCAATATGAAGCTATTAACAGTAACGGTAACATGAGTTCGATCCCTGGCCAGGGAGCTGACCCACATGGTGCAGCAGACCTCTCCTGTCCTGCCTGTTACTCCTCTCAGCAGTGTACTTAGTCAATCTGCCTGTTCTGCTCCCCACTCTGTCTCTGGCGAAGCCTCTTACCCCCCACACCTCTGGCCTGTACCCCAGTTCTTCTACATAAAAATAAACAAAATATATATATTTTTTTTAATGAAGAAAGGTTAGTGAGATAAGCCAGAAAGAGAAAAATACCGGATGGTTTCACTCATAGCAGGAGTATAATGGACCAGGCAAGAAAATAACAAGAATAATGAACAGCCATATACCAGAGACATTTTGTGGGGGTGGAGTGGGGAATGGGATCAAAAATGGGGGGCGGGGAGGGGAGTGCATGGGATTATGGTGATGGCACACGGGTGACTTGGTGATGGGAAACCCGCGGGGATTACAATTGAGATGGAAAAAAAAAATGTACAAAATGATGTGTTATTGAAAAAAAATAATGAACAAAAAAAAAAAGAAGAAGAAGAAGAAAGGAGCCCTCTCTGGTCATGCAGCGGGTTAAGCACAGGACTAAGAAGCTAAAGCTACTTCAGCATGAGTTCGATCCCCACCTGCCCTGGAAGAGATCCACATGGTGCGGCAGACCTCTCCTGACCCGCCCGCTGCTCCCCTCAGCAGTGTACTTCATCAGTCGGCCTGTTCTGCTCCTCACTCTGTCTCTGGTGAATCCTCTCATACCCTGCACCAGTTCTGTATGCATAAATAAATAAATAAATCTTTTTAAAAATGAAGAAAGAAGAGGCAGGATGAGAGCACCCTCCACCTCAGTGCCCAGCCAGGCTGGTTACCTCCACATACAGCTGTTGAGGCTGACAGGAGCCGCCATTCTCAGCAAATTATGCATGTAGCTCAGAGCCAGTAAAACGGTGCTGGTGTAGGAAGGGTCTGGAGCACCAGTCAGGGTTGGAATAAAAACCAGACAAGAACAGCACAAGGCCGAGACATGAAGGGCCTACTCCAGGTCACACGGCGTGAGTTGGAAGCAAGCAAAGGCAGGGCCGTTTTGCCCAAAGCCGAGTGCTTGGAAACCTGCCCCCTTGCCCAGCGTTTCCCCCACTCTCCAACCCCCCA